GTCGCACGATTCGTGCGAATCGCGCGAAGACCACGGCTCTGCAATCAATCTTATTACTAGTGGAGGTCATCATGTTATACCAGCCATTTGCAATGTTTTGTACGCCGCTGCATATACACCTTTCAAATCAGTTCAACTATTTTCTGAACGGTGTTAAGCTGGTGTCAAGCTGCTCAATCCGTCGCGCGATTCGCACGGTTTGCGTGAAGCGAGCGACGGATCGCGGACTCTGACACGAGCCTAAGGAGATAGTGATGGTGTCAAAGAATGGTCGTATTCTTGTTATGAATGAGCTGTAAAACGAATGGTGTGTTTCATGAAAGTGAAATGGTGTTCAATACTGTGCAGTTAAGGATGGAACCATATGCCTTCTCCCGATGTTATTTCACCTTCACCAAAAACTCGGAAGTCTTGGAATTCAGTCGTCGTTGGAATGGCTATCGTTTTGTGGATGCGAACGGTTCAGAATTTGATTCTTTGAAAATAACCTATTTCTCATTATCATATATCTATCATAGGTAATCACTCCATCGCTATGGTTGAACTGACTGCAAATGATCGTGTTCCGCGCAAGCCTCGAAGTGACGTGTCAAAGGATCCGAAATGTGGCACAATAGAGAACGGTAATAAATTAGCCTTGGAGCAACCCAGACAGCTTTTTAGCATAGCTTCTGTTATAATATTGCAGAAGTGGAGTACAAACAGTTCATGCATGACCTGGAAGTCGAATACGAAATGGCACGACTGTCGTTGGATGAACAATTATTGCACGCTCAGCAGTTGCGAACAGATGCAAAAGGTGAAGCTTTTTGAATTTGGCTTAAGCGAAGCAAATTTTTGAGGCAACAGAAACCTGGGGCTGTATTCTGTCCTTCCCCAAGAACGCGCCCCCGCCGCTGATCCTATCCTAAGGTTGGCGGGAGACAGGTTGTGTCATAGGAACCGCCACTAAACGCGCATTGTTGTGGCTACCTTCCTCTGTTTAGGCATTCTTCCTCGAGGGATCGCGTTGTCTGGAATTAGAAATCCAGAGTATGGCTGGTCCTACGACGCAGTAATCTCTCCTCCCATCATAGGGTAGAATCAGTGGCGGGAAACGCGTCCGCCTTGGGGTAAGGATAGGATGCTGCCCCTTGAGCCAGTAACGTTGCGAAAATTGACAGCTTTGTTGGTACATTTTTCATCGGAGGTACAGCCACAAACTTCTTGGTAATCGTTTACCTTGACAAGAGGTAATTCCATATCTTGGTTTCAAATATAATAAATTTACAAGTTAGCTCGCTTTGTCAGGTGAGTAGCAGTACCGCGGTAATTAGTCTGTTGAGGAGGCTTATCCTATACGGTAAGTAGTGTGAGAGTGGTGTAGTGACAAGTCGTACGCTACCACGCGAGCGGTCCGGGGATCAAATCCTGGGTCGTGAGTCGCCCGGGCCAACCAAGCCTTCCATCCCTCCGGGGTCGGTTAATTGGTACCAGACTTGTCTGGGAGGATAAAAACACTGACTTGTACATCGGCTGGCCCCCGCAAGTCATTGTATAGGCCACATCGCATTCAAACGCCACTACGAATGTACAAATGGAAGTAGAATGCGTGCCGCATCCCAAAAAGGGATTGATCAACGGCAAATGCTTTATCCTTTATCCTTTATTTAACCATAGTCTTGAACTTTCTACTGATGGCGGAGTTTATTATCCAGCTGCTAAATTATATATTGAAAACTGATAAGTTTAAAAATAATCTCAAGTTATTTCAGCGTCCGCTGTCCAACCCACTCCACTAACGCAATATATCATCAAAGAGATGGACGCTAAAGCTCAAAGAAAGGCTGTGAGTTTACTTGTACAGTGCAGAAATGGTGAGAGTGCCTGAACCATATAGTCAGTTATGTCTTCAGGAACGGCGTCGTGCAGCGCGATCAGGTTTCGATCGTTATGACATACCGAATGCAGAGCGTAAAGGCGGTATCATTGAGGTGAAGAACAGTTCACGTGGCTGGGGACTACGGTCGTCACGCGCCGTTGCTGATGACAAGGAGAAAGCGCGAGCGTCAGAAAGGTGAATCAGACGATGACTTAAGAGGAGCTTCTGGTCTATGTTATTCAGTTGAATTTCAATTTCAGTGCCAAGAAGGACACAACGAAGGAGACGTTGAAGGATGACTCCGCAGATGCGGCTGATCACCTGACTAGACTTTTTGCGAATGCAAAAAAGGTGCCCGCGAGTGGAAGTGAGAGGAAGCCATCGTCTGGCAAGTTTGATAAAGGAGCAACGAAATCGGAGGGAACGTGGGAAAGGCAAAGGAGAATCGACAACTGCAAATGCCGAAGGAGGTATTGCCGTTAATTTTCTTATGTATTTGGGTCCTTATGGTATTTTAGAACCCGGTCCTTGGCGATCGGGTTCCGCAAAGTCTGGAATGTTGGTTGAGAGGGCAAAAAGGTTCGGTAATCAGGGATAAGTTGCGCCCGAAGAATCTAAGGTAGGCTAGATTTGGGATGTTCTTTTCTGAAATGATGTAGAGATGCGAAATGGAACAACTGTGAAGAAAAAAGAATGAAAAGAAACCGTTTGCAAGGGCAAAAATGGAACCCCTTTCTTCCCAGCAACTAGCGAAGAGGCACGAACTTTAGCAAGAAGCCTGACGGGCTACTTGAATGCCAGAAACTTCAGCCCGCCTGCTGCCTATCTCGCGAGTGCCGTCTCCTGGTCTAACGGACGAAACTTTGCATACTCAGTCCTTTAAACTGCTTTCATTTGATGCTCTCGCCTGCGCTCTCTCGCTTAAACAGCGGCTTTTGATTACTGAGATAGAACATATTCAAACTTTGTCACATTGTATATGGCTCACCCACTACGGATTCCCTCTTCCCTCCGAGGCTTAGTCCTAGAGCTGGTCACCTTCTTTCTTGGGTTTTGGAGCCGAGCCAGGCGCAGTTCTCTAGTCGTCTGTGCTCTGGCCTTTCGCGGCAGAGAACATAGGGGAGAGTTCAAAAGTAGTCGCACGTAAACTCGCCTCTCCTCTCACAAGCTTAATCCTAGGGCACATTCATCGTGCCGTCTCTAATCGTCGTGCTCTTGCCGATCTCGTTTGTCGTGCGGTAGGATCAGCGAGGACAATATCAAGTAGTGTCGGTAAACGCGCGATCGCAGGAAGTCAAATCCTGAACTGAGTTTTCTACCATTGCCGAAGCCATTGCTGGCCATGCCGAACACTTGATCGGCAAACGCCCACACCAGCTTAATTCACAGCCCTCTTAACCTAGAGACGCGGAGTGGTACCCCACGGTCTCTGGGTGCGGCCGGGTCATAAACTGACAGCGAACGGTAATACTCCATATTCCGCTCCCAACCCCCAGGCCCTCTTACCGCGATTGTTCTGAATTACTAACGTGGGTCCATCTTTGAAGGTGCCGAATCCGCAACAATTACAAGCGAGAGGTGATGGAAGGGATTGGTTTGGTTGCCTAATCCCCAACTTTGCCTTTAAGCGGTTCAATAGGAATAATTTCAGACCCATCAAATTCAAACCACGGTCAGTATTAAGAAGGAATCATGATAGGCTAGTAGAGGCTGAAAAAGCAAAGAAATAGCGCGCATGGGTGCCAGATGTCACGCCGTCGATCTTGCAAATAGCTACATTGGCGAGAACCCCGTCCGAATCCGAACACATTAGCGTGAGCAGCTAGACGGGAACATGCTACCTTTCACTCTTGGCTAAATTGAAACATTGGAATGAACATTCTAAACTCTGTTCAAAGAATCGTTTAGCGTATTACATAGAAAAACAGATTCCTAGTCAGCGGCCAGAAGCACCTCTTATACAATATTTCTCATTAGAAAAAGCTTTTTATTCAAAATCTTCACTCTACCTGAATCAGGTAAACGAATGGTGAGCATGATTGGTTTTAGGTGAAAAGCCGTCCGATTCTCGCCTTGCCGACGAGAATTCTGAAGCGAAACCAACGATGCGACTCGACTTACCTATTAAGAGAGCATTGCCGCCTAAGCGGGATCCGGCAGAGCGGCAGAAGAAGAAGGAAGGTTAGTGGAAGTGGAATGTTGTGAGTGAAGACGATGTTCCACTTTACACTCACCATCAGTCCAAAGCTTTCAGGTCAGCCCTCACGTCCGATCAAGAAGCCGTCAGAACGTTTGCTGGCGGCTGTTGCAGCGGCGACTGCGTCAAGCAGAGCGGCTACTACTTCATCGGCTGACTTCACATCGAAACAGTCAAAAAAGTATTCTGAACGGAATAGACGTAAAGGTAATTTATTGCTCACTACTTTATAAGGAACAATAGTAAAGAATAATTAGTGTATAGATGAACAAACGAAGGATGAGAAGGAGTCTCCGACACAGTCAAACCCAAGCTAATGGCAGGTGGACGATTCTCATAAATGCTGACAGATTGCAATGGAGTGCTACTGGGTGGCTGCCGCGCTGTGCCTCTTGCTCACAGAATTTCACCCCTCGTCCGCCTTGGTCTTCCCTGTGGCAGTTCAAGGTTTACGATAAAGTTCTCATGTGATAGTTGTCGTTTCTCTTTTTTAATGGGTCCATTGATTTGTGCTAATGTTTCTGTTTCTACATTAATTTTTTTCGTCGATTCATTTCTCCATATCTTTTTTTTTGACAGGACTGTAAAATCCAAAGTCCTCCTGGTGATTTCGCTCTCTATAGAGAATTCTGTGCAGTTTCGTTTCTGTAGTAACCATAAGATCAGCTTTTTTTCCAGACAATGCGCTGAATCAGAAAGCGCTACATTACCGATCTATAACCTAGAATGAATCTTTCGATTTTTCTTGCTGTTCAAACGAAGGGTGTAAAAGCTGTTTCGCGCTGAGGCACAGTTTTTTCGAGCAAGCCTTTTTCAGCTACTTTTCCTTTCACGGCGTTTCATGTGGATCGTGAATAAGCCAGTGGTGGATATCCCTCGTTTGAGAATAGGAGTACGGAATGGGTCAGAAGTGGTTCAATGGCAAGTTGTGCCAAGAGCTCACAAGAGGGTGTTTCAGGAGAAACCGCATATTATAGGGACGCATGTAGGGAACACAAAACCATGTTTGATTTTCGCTGAGCGCTTTCCGTAACCACAAAAGAAGCATAGGTACTGTTATGGCTCGTTACTGCGTCCCTACAATATGCAAAAATCGTTTTTCAAAAGCGTAAACTTATCCTGAAACACCCTCCCCCGTGGTAGGCATCTGGTCTCGTTCAGGCTAGTCAAACCCCGGCTGATCAGTTATTGTTGTACTCGCCTGAGAGTTCAGAACAACCCTCAATGATGCATTGGCAGACCCCTATGACTCACTACATAGCCCGTTTATTCATTAATCTGTCACAGCGCAACTCTGAATTCAAATAAAATGCATGGGGCATTCTGAAAAGGGATTGACTCAGGGATTGCCGAGTGCTTTACGCTTTCGCTCCACCAAAGGTCGTGCTCATAAGCGATGAGAAATCATTCCATTTTCTAGATATGGTGCCTACGTGGACTGCTGCAATTTTGTAAACAGAACTGATAATACTGTCAGTACTCGAAAGAGATACGGAGTTCCTGTGTGTTTCAATTTCTATGGAGCTCCACTGCAGGTCTGTTGTATTCGTGGGTGGCCTCAGCAGTATCTATTGTCATCTTCCTGTTTCAGCAACTTTGGCATTCGACTGACGCATGACCCTCAAGGAGCGTCTACTAGAAGTTTTGGGAGCTGCTCTTACTTCAGCTGCTACAATCGTTGTGGCGTCGTCAGTATGCAACAAACCAAAGAAAGTCACCCGCGATAGAAGCAAATCAAAGTCGAAGGTTGGCATTATTTTTTGCAGGTGCTTTAGGATCTGGGAAATCGTCGTGTTTGGGGCTTATTTCCTATCCTATGTAGCGTATCTTATGCGCCTGGTGGCAAGTGAGGCTGTATTCAGCTGTATGGATCAGAGCGCATCGCGATATACGGGGGAGAGGGGGGGGGTAGGGGGAATAAGCCTAAAATTGGCAAGAACGTTTCACGGCTATTCAAATTGCAGTGCCACACAAGGCTCCTGTTATATTGCGATAGCGCCTGGATCAGTATTTGTTTGAACTTAGACAAGTCAGCTTCATCCCCAATTGTTGCCTAATATCATTTATATACCCATAGTGCTCTTCTCCTGCAAGACTGTCTTCTGTCGTATGTCCTAGGGAAAAACATTCAAACAGGGCATTTAAAAAGCGCTAGTAAGGTGGCACTAGGATTGAGCTCAAGAGAGGGAGAAACGCCAGCGAGAAACAAAGGTTGCTCATGTCCTCTCCCCAGAATCCCCTTTCCCTCTCTAAGGCTTGGTCCAAGTTCTGTAAGGCTCACTCACTTCAAGCTCTGATCCTACCGCCACTAGGAAGGCTCCGCCAGGCTGTGTCGTGACGACTTGTCAAGCACAATCCTTGGTTTGTTTTTTGTCCACAAGTTCCACTTCTCAGCTGTTCGAGTGGGTGTTAAGAACCTGACCGACAACTTCGACCTCTCATCGTTAATGCTAATCGATGGTATTCATTAGCAGGGTTTTTAAGAGCTGGCGATAGGCGATTGGCGATGGGATTAGGCGATAAGAGAAGCGATATGTATTGATTCGTTGCTCTGCCCATTGAGCCATCGCTTGATCACGTACTTGCCTCGTCGCCTAATCGATACGTATCCCTACCCTTATAGACTAATCGGCAACTATTACGATCAGCAATTCTCAAGCGCTCGCTAGTACCCTGGGGCGCGCTATAGGCATACGATGCTCTCTGGACCAAGACTGGGCGGAGCAGGAACGAGAACCCCTGCAGACGCATTCTGCAGACGTATCCTAGAGGCCGCTACGGGGTGATCCCCGTCGCCTGCCATGGGGTGTTGCGCGAGGTATTTGGTCATCAGCTCACATTAGTTGTCATTGGTTCACTTTGTTAGCCTCTACCGCTACTATCGCATATTATTTTTGAGCGCGATCACAGCTGTGATTCTCGCGGGCTACCTGACTCATCCCCCCCTCCCCCCCGCTCCCTACCCCCTCCCCCACAAATAGATTGTTCGACAGTTCGACACAACATCGTTTCTCCAGAGGAATAGGAATTGTGTCACTATAACCTACCTCGATCTTCACACAGAAAAGCGTTAACTGACTGGTGATAAGTTCTGAATCGAAGGAAGACAGTAGCTATCAATCTCGTAATCACTTGGGTCACACACCTATCTTTGCTTACATTTCGCCTTGAAATGTAACAGTAGAACTAGGTAAGAAACACTTCATAAGTGAAAGGAGGCAAGAGTGATTTATCGGTATGGTCGCCTAGGTTCCAACCGTAACCACGTCGCACTGGGGCGCGCTGTTGAAATTGGATGCGCGCAATTTCCATCGACAAACGTGTACAGATGTACTTCGATCAATAAGGCATGGCCTCAGAGGGTCAACCGTCCGTTGGACAAAGTCCAACGCGACGACGAGAGTAATGCCGAGAGTGAACGTACGCACGGAGACACAGACGGCTCGCGGGTGGCGAGAGTGAATGCCGGCGCGGAGAGCGGTGAACATCGGTCCAACGTCGCTCCAATATCGGTCCAACGTAACGGTTGACCCTGGCCCTGAGCTGTTCGCCTCTTTTTCCGTAGTCGCCCTGGGGCAGCCCTTCGAAAATTTCCGAAAATTGGGCGAATTGACGCAACAACTTAGGGAAGCATATAAGGGAGGGCTGTTCGCCTAATAAACCAAATGGTTTCATTTCAGCACTCGGACTCTGCAACAGCTCGTGGATCATCGTCTTCAACATCGAGACATGACACCCCTACTAAAGAAAATCCAACTCAAGTGCTTTCTGTGATGCCTGTGATGCCTAAAGATCCAGAGAAACCAGCCAGGAGAGAAACCAGAGAAACCAGTAGGAGAGAAATCATCGTTGGCGAAAGAGGAAACCACAAAGAAGAACTTGGAATTGGTGACGTGTGAGGATCAGCTGGTCCTTTCTGTGGTCCAGCCTGCACCTATAGATATGTCGCAACTACCTCGAGAAGTATTAGATCGACTACGAAAAACTCAAGTGGAAAAAGACGATGATGAGAAAGGCTTGCTGTCCCTAGTAAAAACACAGGATATTTCCAAATCAATGGAACCAGGTGGGAAGGGTAACAACACCTCGTCAGATACCTCAAAAATCAGTGCCTGCTCCAGCAGCTGCTAAAACGGTCAGGGCCACCTTCAAAGCGTAAAATACAGTATAAACCAACCACTTACGTGACGGTTCTTGCAGGAGCTGCTGGGCCAAAGATTATTGCAGGAGGCACCGTTAGCAGCAGCATTGCCAGAAGCGAAAGCAAAACAATCTGAACCTGCTGTTCCACGTCCAGCTCCTGCTGTAGAGCAGAAAACGCCGCCTACGAAACCTCAGACCACCGCTGCAATTTCTCAGAAGTCTATGAAAGGTTTACCGATTGGCGCTTCGGTTCCAGCTGGCGCACAAAAAGATTCGAAACCCGGAGCTGTTCAACCTCAAAAGCCTATAGGACTTGGACCTGTTCAACCTCAGAAGGCTATAGGACCTATACCTGTAACTAAAATCACAGCTCCCTATCAATCTCCAGTCGTATCACAAGCGGCGAGAGATGCGTCCGTTAAGGTAGCAAAACCGGCACCAGCAGTCGCTGCAGGGGCACCTGCACCCCAAGTGAAAGCGCCAGTTCAACCAACGATGCCGCCAAAGCCTACGACAAGCCAGCCTCCGTTTGCAAGTAAGCCAATAGGCCAGCCTTCTCAAGCAAACAAACCTTCAGTGCCACCTCCAAAACCAGTAGTTCCACAACAGCAGCCGAAAAAACCTTCGACCCCACCTCCAAAACCAGCCTTGCCTCTTGTATCTCAGTATGCTGCTGTACAAAGTACAGGTGCAAAACCCTCACCAACGGGAGGGACCCTTAAGTAGTTTCCGCCACGTTGACGTTTGCATTGCTAAATTGTGTCAAGCTATTTGAGATGTACATATTTAGGACAAAGGAAAATTGATCATTTCTTTAAAATCGTCATCATCAAATAAAGATTAATCTGTAATTGATTCGACTTTGTAACTCGAGCAGAGAGTGTGAAAACTCGTCTCTATGGCCAAGCGAGCTATCGAAAATCTCAGAAATTATTTCAAAATCCTTAAAAAGCAGCAAAATACGCTCGAGCATCCAAGAAAAAATTGTGATACTCTACTGTCATAGGACCAGTCAAAAAAATGCGGAGAGAGGACAAAGAGCGGAACCAATCCACTAATCTCCACCACAGATAAGTGCCCTACCTAGCTGTCAGGCCTCGAGGACAACCTGGGAATGCCATTGGAATCATTTGAGCCCCCCCCCTCTGCTGAAGCACGCTTCAGTTAATATGGCAGTTAATATGTTAATCCGGCGTAGGGGAAAACCTTTATAACTCTTCAGAAAGTCGAAGAAAGTCGATTGGTAGATTCAGAAAGCAGAATCGGGATCAGCGCCCAAAGACAGCAACAGCATTGCGTGTCTCACTACATATAGTCACTTCGGCCTATGCCATTCTCTATAGAGCTCCCATCTTATGGTTAAAGCGAGGGCTACGATAAGATTGGCTTGGGTTCATAGTGGAAGTGGAGATGCTGAATAATGCCCCCGAAAAAAGCAAAGAAATCCGTCAAGAAGGCGCAAAATGGGACCCCTTTCTTTGCCCGTTGACCTCCGATAATGGACGAGCTAGCAACCAATTAGGAGGTCGTTTGCACATGTTAAACTGATAGCCGCTATCATTTCCAGCAGAGATCGGATTGATCACGCATTCCATGGGAAAGTTGTAGGATTTGGGATACCTCATCCAAATGTAAGAGCAATGTGCCTGCAATACACTGATAGGCGAGCACAGGCGGCGGGGCGGAGTTCAGGGAGCAGCCCAAGGCGCTGAACTAGCGCGCCTTTGGTCACGGAAAGGCCACTTCTCGATTCCTTTGACTCTTGGCTTCTGTTTCCGCTAGTGCATGTACTTCGATACTTGCGCACACATTTTGTCGTGATCTCTTGCTTTATATTAAGACTCCACGATAAGGTCAGAGGTGAAAGGGGAAATATACAAGTCAAATGCACGTTTGGCAGCGAGGAGCTTACCCCTAACAACCTAACAAGGCCATTCTCGCGCCGCTCGCGCCGTTGCCCACCCACTCTTTCGCCGTCTGACTCTAGCCGTTAGCAGAGAGAGCGTTAGCGTTGAAGAGGGCAGCACCGATGAGAGTCGCATCAATGCGGAAATCAACGGGCAAGGAAGGGTTCCATTTCTCGGGTTTGGGCCGTTTCTCATGGTTTTCTTCATCCTGCACCACTGACCATCCTACCTTCATTTCTGAAAAAACTGCCTTTTCGTCGCATTATTGCTTTTGGAACAAAAATACCCATTATTGAAGGCATATTGCCAACTGCTGTGTAGCCTTGTCTTAAGGCGCCAAATTTCGGAATCAGTAGGGAATGCGCATGCGTGGTGATTATGTTCGAGAGCAACCCATCTCCTCGCAGGCATTGTGAATTTATCTAGCGTGCTTGATCGCGCTGAAGAGAAAGCGTGACTGGGAGGTTGGGTCGGACTCGAAAAGCCGAGAAGTGGACAGAGGGTGCATGTTTTGACGATGCGACCGACTCAACAGGCTCCAAAGGTGGTCATTAGAAACTGTCTAAGGTTCTCGTGACATGTCTTTCGAGTTAGTGAACTGTCACAAAAGTTGCTAGCGAGTCTTTCATGGATATGAAAGATTCAACTTCAATTTCAACTGTACCACTGCCATTCTCTGCAATGCGGAACAAATTTTAATAAATTTATTGTCAAATATTCGTTATTCACTTGCGACGTTTCTGTTTATGAAGTACTATAAGTATCGACTCTACGATTTGCATGAAGTAAAATCTCTTATGAAGGCCTATTAATGAAGTATAATTAATTCTTAGGAAGACCTAAGAACACCGATTTGACGGATTTGTCATGGGGGGTCGGCAAAGCCGGTGTTTTTTTTCCATAGTCTCTGGTACTTTGTTCGAACTTGGCTGTGGTAGTGTGCTTGGAGGCGGAACGGCCGGAGCGATTGCATCCACAGCAGTAGCGCTTGGAGCCACAGAAGCGACGGTTGGAGCCACAGCAGTAGCGCTTGGAGCCACAGAAGCGACGGTTGGAGCCACAGCAGTAGCGCTTGGAGCCACAGAAGCGACGGTTGGAGCCACAGCAGTAGCGCTTGGAACCACAGCAGGAGCGGTTGGAGCCACAGCAGGAGCGGTTGGAACCACAGCAGGAGCGGTTGGAACCACAGCCGGAGCGGCAGGTTTCTTTGGTGTGGGTGCCCTAGGAGGCTGCACAGGAACAATAGATGTTGCGGGCACCGGGGGAGCAGGTATCTTTGGAACTTTCACTCCAGTTGTAGTTTGTGTAACCGTCCCTTTCGGTGGGAATTGTGTTGCAATCTCCTTTGGTGCACCGGAAACCTGAAAATTATCAATATCATTCCAAAATTCAACCTGTGAAGTTGGCCATAATTTTTTATTCCTTGACTTGAAACCTGTAGGTAATAGTGTAATATGTTTCAGCTACATACATGTATCGCATTTTCATTTTCAAGTCTGTTCCATCGTCAAAACCTTCATAATTTATTGTACAGTCGATATCCGAAAGTTGGGGTAGGCGTGTCACCGGAAGTGACGTGCACTTGATAGAAGTTGCGTGGATAAGCTGTTGCCAGCATGCTTTGCTGATATCCAGCGATGTATGTTGGAAGCAGCTTATCCACATAGCTTCTATCAAGTGCACGTCACTTCCGGTGACACGCCCACCCCAACTCACCGGATATCGAGTATATCTCTATTCTATCGTCTATAAATCTTTACAAACTACTGTATAATGCCAGTTTGGCTGGCGCATACTGCTGCGCACACGCACTATACCCTTCATTGAAGCGGACCCCCCCTATGGAAACGGGTCCCATGAATAAAGCTCCCCTATACTCTCTCTCTGTTCTTTCCTCGTTGTTTCAATTGAAGCAAAAATAAGCTGTTGATGGAACATCTTTGACCCTCGAATCATTTCGTGGTCTAGCAATAAGATTTGCTTCCAAAGGTCGTACTCAGCGTACGTGGCAGTTCCCTCTTCCCTCATCCTCCTCTCCCAAGAAGGGAGCCCTGGCCTCAGTGGGCTAATCGCGAATTGGCCATCATCGTAATATATTATCTGAGCCATTATCGCTTAACTTTTGCTTCTTCTTAAAGCCTGTTTTTAGTCTGAAGCGTTCGCTGTGGCAGAGTACAGGTTTTCTGCAGCTTTTGAGATAAATAAAACGAAAAAGGCGCTATCGCAAGATACGGGGCATTATAAGTAGCGCAAGTGCAATTTGAATCACGTAAGAAGCAGGTTCCTTTTTGTTAAGGAACGGCGTATCGATAAAGAAAAAAAAAAAAAAAAAAAAATGGAGCCGTATCGGGGAAGCCTGGCAACCCATAGAAAATCAGTTACTTGGTTCCCAGGGAAACAATATGTGGCGCTACAGTATTGGGAGAGAATTAAACAACCTCTTCGTAGTTTGGCTGATGGAAAGGGTCCTTTATGCGACTTTGGCCTCCTGATGAGGAGGGGGTCATGATTTCCATATTCGCTTGACTGTTCGCTTCGCCACCCTAGTGACACAGTAAATATCGCACAGTTTCTGGTCAACACGTTTTCGCGGAATCGGGATCTGTCGGGGCTGACTAGGTCACACTAAAGGTACGCTGTTTGCTGAGCACGACTAGAACCAGCCTCTGCCCAAACCGAATTCAGCGCCAACTAAATTGAGTGCATCTTGCACGCGTGCCGTTCCAAGCTAGCGGCAAACAATCTGAATGCGACTCGATTTGAGCGTGGTTTGGATTGGTGCCACCAAGCCGGTTGCGCTGAACTAGTCCATAGGTTTACTTTTTGAGCTGCTACCTGTTTCTTCAATTTATCGTAATTGCTGCCTTTAAAAACGGGATCAAACCTTAGGCCGCGGAGCAGAGACTCCAGGGTGCGTCAGCCACTCATCCGTCCATTATCCCTGGAATCTCCGTTCCCTCCTAGGCTTAGCCTTAGAGAATGCCCCGTATATTGCGATAGCACCCGAAAAATTTATCAACAAGTGGAATCTTTTTCGTCAACTAAACCTACCGTTGCTAAATATTTGAATGTACATGGGAGAAGGTGCGTACATTATCTGTAAGAATCACTTTCACTTCCAATGTATTTCTTGAGTTAAGGTTCTTCAAGTCTTACTTAACTCTCTCGTTCCCGCACCATGTAAAAATCTAGTAAGGTTGTTTGCCCAAAACCCAGTCGCTTTGCCAACTTTTTTATTGCTCAAAATCCTCCAGAGGAATTGATTCGACATAATATGTTAGCGTACTCCTTTGCGCTTTCAGGTTAACGCGTACACATCTACGTTTACGCCTGCAGAATGATGCCTCCGCTGAGCACAACCCATTTTAAAATCAACTCGCGCTTCATCTTCTGACTGGAACTGATAAAAAGGTGGCGAGGAGTCGAAGGTGGCTGGTGCTCTCTCATGTTTACCGTTTTGTCCTCCCTCTAGAGACGCGGGCCCCCCTAAAGATGTGAGCGCCGCAAACTCCTCCAATGAACGGGCCCCAGGATATTTCTGCCACAGGCGTGACACCAATTTTTAATCTGTCCTTTCTGAAGCACTACTACCAATTGCTAACCCGAAAAGAAAAGTCCAGATAAACGAAAGTTCGAAATTAGTAGAAATATATGGAAGATAGCCTTGAAGGCAAGAATCAGGATTAAATTGATGGGGTGATTCCACTCAAATGTGAAAGTAGGGATGGGAGGTGGACCGCCAGTGGAGAAAAAAGGAAAGAAAATCCTGAAATACACAGGAAATACGAGCATTTTGCTCTATGCTGTGGAGAAGTTCAAAAGACAGGCAGGGAGATGAGAGATAATGTGAGCGCGGAGAGTGGTAGAGAAGTCCGAAAGAGAGCATAGCAGATCAACGTGGCGACGCAGACAAGATATCGAACGGTGGGCGGACCATGTTAAGTTTGGTGGAGTCTGTTAGAAGTCCATGGCGCCTAGGGTCCTAGTGACGCGTTTCGATGTAGAAAGGTGGCGCTACCTTTGCACTTGCGTACCCAGCACTTAGAGGTGAGGGCTTCTTAGGTGGGTCTGAGCCCGAACTTTGCCTTTAAGACAGCTTCAGCGACAGGTCAGTTGCCACACTGTGTACCTATTTGTCCGTCTTTTTCGGCGAAGTCCCAGGCACGGATGATTGGGTAACCGTGAGGCGTTTTTTTTTTTATACACTTGACATCAAGTCGTGAGATCTCCATACGTCGAGGTGAAGGCGGTCAGTCAGCCCTTCAATAAGTGTTTTTATGCTCCAACTTTCTTTCATGTAATGAAAGGCTCACTGTGTCCATTACGATTCATGAGCAACTTAATTGTTTAATTTTCTATCAATATTCGCTGTTTTTTGCATTACTCCTGTTCATATTGATGTCGGGTATCGTGCAATAAAATAAACGGTTGAAATAAAAAAATAAACTACCTTGGTTGTTTGTTGCCCGGGAGGTGGTTGCTGCTTTGTGGCTCCCGGTGGCTGCTGTTTAATAGGTTGCTGTAGTTGTTGCTGTGGTTTCGGCCTTTGTAGTGGTGGTTGTTGTGGCTGTTGTTTTTGTTGGTGCGCTGTGTGGACGTGGAATCGTGTCTGGCCGTTTCCTCCGCGATTTTCTGGTTGAACGAGAACAGCATCGCTATGACAAGTTAAAGCAACATCCCTTACAACTTTGTGGGGTCGCAGCAGTAGATAATTGAGTGGTGAATGCCAAGTTAACTAAAGACGAAAAAAAGAAGCAAAAGGAAACCACCAATAAGCCACGAGCAAGGATTCCCCTCGAAAAAAAGGAAGGGGCGGGCCGGACGAGTTGTACAAACTCCTGCTCCCAGTTCAACTAACCGCGTGTATTTTAATTAGTCGCTACGCCATGGTTCACGTTGCGTGTGATAAGGTGTGCGCGACGTAACTCGTCCGTATGTTAAAAGTAGTTATCATAAGCCGCTTTAGAGACCTACGCGCCATTTGGCTGCTCGGTTTTGAGCCGCAACAACGGCACATCTCTGATACTCGTGGGCTACTCTATCCCACCCACCAAATAGATTCTTTGACACATCTTCTGCTGGAAGTGTTCCCTAACTCCAGGGCATGCCGGAGTACAGCACGTTGGCTGCGCTGTTTGGCTGTTTACTGGACATGGCTCACCATGGTATTATAACACAACAGCACAGGATAGGCAAGATTTTGCCGGCGCAGCCGGCTCACTCCACCTCAAAGTCCTTGGTTTTTGTGACAAATTCAGTAAGACTGATTTGCACGAATGGAATTTTGACAACGTCAATGCATTAGAAGCTTCCTGGGGTGAAAGAATGAATTCGCTCATAGAGATCTAAACAGGATTCACGGACCAGGTCGAAGGTCGAAGTAGAGCAAACCTACCCAGTGGGTAGAAAGGTGAACCCCTAAAGCTGCAGATTGACACGCACTTTGCAGCGGAGGATATGCCCCCACGATCTAGCATGACCGTCCACGCGCCGCTTTTGACGCGCCACGCCCATTCAATCACCACCTCACTCTAGTCGTTGAGTAACGAGGGCTTGAGTATTTGAAGAGCAACATGGGAGTCACGTCAATTGCGGAACTCAACGGGCTTGGAAGGGGCCCGTTTCGGGTTCTAGGCCGTTACTGGTTGGATTCTTTCTCCATCCCAATCCCACTGACCACCTCTGTCCTAATTCTTGAATGGGTTGCCTTGCTGAACTCAATCTTTGAAGTGAGGGAAGGTTAGCTCACAATAGGTAGCAGAATGTAGCCTCATGTGGACGCGTTATCTGCGAATCCTAATTACTCATCGTCAGTTCCGACAATGCATGGAGACCGGGAGAGAAGCGGAGAGGTTGGTATATAGAAGGGAATCCTTGGGCTCAAAGGGTTGGGCCAAAGTGGGCGGAGCTAAAATCCACAGTTTGCAAAATGGTTCAGAAACCGTCCGAGAACTGGGAAGAACCGGCACAGACGAACCGGCAGCAGGCGAGCGAAAGGGGAGGTCAAGCTTCCATGGTGGCGAAATATGCAACGGGGTGAGTTAAAACTCTAGTTGGCCTTTAGTATCGCTAGATCCTCGTGTGACGCATTTACTAGTGCTGGGGATAGTTACAATCAGTCTCTGTATATGGAATATCTTGTAGATTCTGAGAGCTGATATCGGTTTCCGGCAATGTTAGGCCGATGTCAGACTTTGCGAATCGCGCGATTCGCTAGCGTCCGCGGTCGCGTTGCGGTACCAGCCAATTGAGTGATTCACTGGCCGCGACGCGACCGCAGACGCTAGCGAATCGCTCGATTCGCAAAGTCTGACATCGGCCTTACTAGTAATAAAAATTCAAGCACCAAGTAAGTAAAATGCAGCGCTCACCGTTCGAATCTCTTTCGTCATCGGAGGTAATCTAGCGGACTTCTGCCGTGATTTTCCGGATTGTGTAGCAGCTAGCTTTGGGGTAGATACTATTGCACCAGGTTCTTTATTTGCAATGACAGAGCCCTTTTTCTTTGCTGAGCTATCTTGCGGCTTTGCAGGAATTTCTGGTTTGGCGGGTTCATTTATCTACTGATAAGCTCAATCCCTGCGGGTGCTTGCGCTTCTGGCTTGGTTTCAGGTACTGTAGGCTTAGGTTGCTCTGCGCCACCTGTTGCGGCTTTCTTTGCGGCTCCATCTGGCTGCAACCAGTAGTCAACAAATGAGTCTTCCCTGTCTCTCTCACCGCTCTTCTCCTGGACCTGCACGGCCTGGTTGCCCTGCACAGCCTCCACAGGTTTCTTGGCGCTCCTCTCCTGGATGGCCTGCATAATCTCCACAGGTTTCTTTAAGCTCTTTATTTTGCCCTTACGATTTCTCTGGGAATTTCGGATCGGATCCGCAGCTTCTGCCTGAACTCCGGCGGCGGGTGCAACCACCACTTCGCCACTTTTGCTGTTTTTCTTTTTCTCTCCCTTTCTTCTCTGAAATAATTAAGAGTGAGCTACATATTATTCAGTCCCGACTAATTGGGACCGGTCTGAAAAGTACCCTCAAAGTTGGCTAGAAACTGTTTCATGCACCGTTCTTCAAGCCTAACACAAAATCCACTACAGCAGTGTGCGCTCAAAATGAGGTGAAAAGGTCTCACCGGGTGCTCCTCCGAGCTCCTAGCAAGAACTTCTTCCACACTTTCCTCTTTTGATTTGTCTTCTTTAGGTTTTAGCTTCTCCTTAGACCCTGGCCGTTTCTTACTTCCACTTTTTGACTCTTTTGAACCTTGTTTTGGCTTCTTGTCGTCCTTGAGATTTCTTAATTTTCCTTTTATCCTTCTTTCTTCTGATTCTTTTGACCCTCTTGCTGGCACGTTGGCATCTTCTTTTGATCTCTTTCCAGCAGCGTTTCGACTGTCGCTAGATGTTCTCCTCTCCTTCACTTTCTCTCTTTCTCTATTTTTACGACAACAATTTACTATCAAATCCTTCAGCGGGTCCATTGATGTAATAAATTTACTTGCCTAAAGTTGTCGGGCTTATTTTGGCTTATCCATGGCGTTTAAAAAACAGCTCCTGAGCCAGTCCAGGCTTTTCACACCAATTTGCACGCTTCAGGTGAGGACGGTAGTATGCCCCGAGAAAGA